TTTCTTTCTTTCTTTCTTTCTTTCTTTCTTTCTTTCTTTCTTTCTTTTTTAATGAATTCCTTTTGGTGGCTGCTTTGGTGTTGCCTGTGTGATTGGTAGCTGCTGGAGCTAGCCCACATTCAGAACAGAAATCAGGACCAAATACAGCAGCGAGGAAGCCCTCACAGGTGAGAGGAGTGCACAGGGCTTTCATTGGCAATGCCTCCAACAAGAACCAAATGTCTTGTGGCTTTATTAGCAGCATTTTAGACTGCAGGTCTTGGAGAGATAAATTCCCCGGAAAGAAACTCACACGATAAAGCCCTGATAAGCATCAAGGTGCTTTAGAGAGTCACGGGCCCTACCGCCAGCGTAGGACCCAAAGTAGAGTAGATATTTGAGAGAAATGAATGAGGGAAGTAGTAACCTCGTTGAGAATCATTAAAGATCTGGGGGTGAAGGATGAGTGTGTCATGGATAAAGCAAATGTTCTTTCCGGGTTGCTCCAGAGAGCAGAGTCAGGTCCGGTGGATGGAAAGGTATGGGAAGGTGGGTCTTGTCCTGCAAACCTGTATGTCGTTCCAGGAATACTTGGGAGACTGAGGCAGGACTATCTCAAGTTCAAGGTTTGGTTAAGCTACAGAGTGTGTTCAAACTAGCCAGGACATTTTAGTTTGACTCTGTCTCAAAAATTACCAAAAAAAAAAAAAAATCTGGGAATGTGACTCGGTGCTGGAGTGCTATGGTTTTAGTGACTGTAATTTAGAGTGACTGACTACTGAGGTAGTGAGTTCCCCATCTCTGGAGGTAATCAAGCAGCTATTTAGTTGATCAAGCCCTGCCAGGGAAGCCATTGGTATCCATCTCAAACTAATAAAGAAAATCTCTGCCAATTAAATTATAGCACATCCTTGAAGGTAAGACTCATCCTGTCTTGTTTTGTCTTTTTAAAAGCTCTTTCAGTGTGGGGGAGGAAATCAACACAGATGGATAAGAAACTGAAGGGGTGTTTTAGGAGGCCAGGCAAGTTCAGGGCGATACTGTATAGCCATGGAGGATACATGGTATACTGGGATGGTCCACACAGAGACTGTGTACCCTCTGGCCCTCGATAACTCTCTCAGCCTCAGTTTCCCATTTGTGAAGTGGAGATGCACCAAAGCAGGTAGCCCTTGCAGAATTCTCCCAAGGACTAGGAGGCAGCAGGAGAGGGCAAAGAGGCAGCAGGAGAGGGCAAGTTAGCCAAGTCACTTCCGAGCTCAGCAGGTAGCCATGTTAGCATGGTGTTCCCACAGGGGAGAGTATCGCAGCGACTCTCACCTCCCTGCAGCCACGACTCCCTGGGGCAGACTGTGTGGCTGAATCTTAAAGAAAGAATAGGAGTCAGGCAAGGGCTGAAGACGTGAATGAGGGAAGGTTTCAGAAATGAGGGTGGCATGACCAAGGGTCTGGCAGACAAGGCTGGCCAGCGATGTGTAAAACTCCCTCCTTAGCCGGAACAAGAGCAGGAGAGGGACCGAGGTCGGTGAGGTCTAAAGCCTCTGGGCATGGAAAATGCTCCCTCTGCTGATGGGTCACCGTGACCTGGCTCTTGGAAGCCAAGGAATGGCAGCATCAGACTTGCCATAGGTTTGCTGTGGTGCTGAGGGAAAGATGGCCAGTGGGCTTCCACATGGGTTGAAAATCTCTCAGTGATCCTGCAAGGTGGTGAGGCCTGTGCTTGGCCGGGGGGTGGGATATGGGAAGTGGAGGCTCTTCCTAGACATAACATCAGAAGGATTTAGCATTGCCCCAGGAGGCCAGGCAGCTTCAGTGTGCTGAGGGGGAGCATATGTGACTCCTGGCTCATTTCACACAAGTTATGGGTCCCTGGACAGGGCTCTAAGACCCGTGCATGAGCCCTGGACACGTGGAGGGCAGGAGGAGACAGAAGCCATCAGGCCACCACAGAGATCTAGCTGGATGGGACATAGGCCCTGTGTCTGGTTTCCAGAATGGGGAACGGTACAGTGTACAGCCAAGCCAACAGGACAGAATGATGAAGCCCACCTAGTTACTGAGGATCCCACATTGGCCAATTGCCCAAGCAGGGATCTCTGTGGTGGGGCCCCCAACTTGGCATAATGTGGGGATGAAATCTCAAGTGGACATGAGCCATAGAGGGGTGGTCGGGCACTCCTGACACCCTGGAGGTCTAAGAAGAGAGGTGAGCTGTAATTTTGAGTTAGCGCACCAAGGCTAGATTTAAAGCAAGAAAGAACTCACTGGAAGGCAGGGAATGGCAGCAGAGTCCTGAGGGAGGGTGAAGCGGGCTTAGGAGGAGGCAGGGCCCCTTCTGCCCAGTTGACTGCAGGCTTCTAAGGATGCTCATAGGTTCAGAGGCATCCTGTGTGTTGGGGAGAGCTGGCTGAGAAACCCAGGAGTCATGAGTTATTTTCAGTTAAAGCAAAAGGAGAACATCAAGTTAGAACATTTCTAACTACCATTTATTCATTCATTCATTCATTCATTCATTCATTCATTCATTGTTTCATGCATTTATTCATAGTTAATGCCTCACTCCCTACCTGCAAGGCATCGAGACGCACTGGAAATAGTTCTGGGAAGCAAGGATCTGGCCCACGCTTCCAGTCTAATGAAGGGAAGAGACATTACACATATAACCCTGCATTCAAATATCATATAAATAAATATCAACAAGTAAACGAACATATGAATATGTGAATATCTTAGCTCTGTTTTTATTCTTGATAAGATTTTACTTGAGGCCTCCCATCTGTGGGTGCGATGAGAAAGTTATTTAGAAGCTGGCTGTGCTGCGTTTGGGTGAGTTCTTGGAAGATGATAGGATGGGGCTGGGTTCCCTGTGGCTGGCCACCAGAGACTCCCGTCAACAGCCAAAGCCCAGGGTCATAACCCAGGTCACCTTAGCGTTTCTTCACTGTGACTCGCTGAAGCTCCCACCCAGTCCCAGCACTTTGGATGATGGGAGCCAATATGGCCCAGGTGAAAGCATTGGTGTCTGGAGCCAGTGGGGGGACAGCTTGGGAACTGAAAGTTAAACTATTGCTTGTTGTGTCTTCTCCCATGGATATGGAAGACTAGAGGTGGGAGCCTGGGGAAGGATAAATGTGAGACACTGAGTGCTACGTGCAGCTGTGGGCTTTGCTCCACCCCCCGCCCCGAAATGAGCCGCTGGCGAAGGAGTTTCAAGAGCCAGCGATGAGCTTCAGAATCCTGACTCGCGTCACGTGCTTTTATAAAGCATCCTTGTCTGGTTGGGTGAAAGGACAACTCTAGGCTTCCCTAAGGCTCAGAACATTTGGGCTCTGGCTACAGCTTGGCAGCCAGCCTTGGGGACATTCATTCGCTTATCCCTTCCTTAAGAACTGTTTCTCTCTCTCTCTCTCTCTCTCTCTCTCTCTCTCTCTCTCTCTCTCTGTGTGTGTGTGTGTGTGTGTGTGTGTGTGTGTGTACATGCACACATGCATGCAAAGCCAAAAGACATACTTGCCTAAGACATGGTCTCTTGTTGACCTGGAATATGCCAAGTTCCTAGGTTGACTGGCTGGTAAGCTTCAGCAACCTTCTGCCCCAGCCTCTCCAGGGCTCACATTGCTGACATGCCCCACCACGCCCAGATTACTTTCGTTGGGTTCTGAGGATCAAGCTCAGGCCATAATGGCTGCACAACAAGGTCTTTACTCATTGAGCCATCCTCCAGTGCCACGTCACCCCCAGAGCTTGGTCTTGTCCTAATTTGGGGTGGCAAGGGAATGCAGAAAGGACAGTGACGCTAAGGAAATGACAGACACATGGGTATGGAACAGCTGGGTTTGGGTGGGCTCTGCACACTTTGATGGAGTCGGACTATGTG